GACTAAAATATGATATTGAGTGAAAATTTGCATAACTATAGATGGAATGAAGGTATGAATTATTAATATAGTGAGGAGAAACATAAAAAACAAAAGAAGGGAGAAATTTTAAAGCACTGCTTATTTTAATACTGTTTTTTCTCTCTTTCTGTCTACCCATAACAGTGGATGAATACTGAAAGAGAAAAAATAACGAATGGTATTTGTTGGAAGTATTGGAAATTACATAGAGATTATCGTAATGATGTTTGCTTAATGGGACGTCAAAATTTGGTTATACATCGAAATAGGGAAGGAATAGTTCGATTCAGAATCGTCATCATATGCTATTTTTTTACTTGAACTCATTTCGAATAACATTGTATAGCTTCATTTTCAAGTTTTAAGTTTGTAAAAATTTTCAGGTTATCGATTTTCTTATACAAATGATGACTGGACGGTAAGTGGTATTTTTCTTTTTTCTTCAGCGATTAGCAAACTGTGATTTTTAGAATTTGAATGTATTACTTGTTCGTTAAAACTAAAAAAGAAACAACAAAACTGTTACAGGCGGCAACACAAGCCTGTACCAGATGAAGCACCATTTAAAGCATATGTTGGGAATTTACCCCTTGATTTGGTTCCCGGTGACTTGGATTCACTTTTTGCAGATTATGCAGTATGTTTCATTTCTTTGTCTTTTTTTAGAGCTATGTGAAAACAAAAATGAAACAAGAATAACTGTGCTCGTACACACTGATCTTGTTAATTCCATCGAAAGCATAGGCTGGGAATTAAGTAATGTTAGACTGTATTCAGTTTCTGTTATTTGAGTTAGTACTCAGTTCAAGATCTCTTCAGGTTATTGAGGCAAAAATGATGCGCGATTATGAGAATGATCGTTTCAAGGGTTTTGCTTATATTGAATTTCGAACTCGAGAGGATTTGGAAAGAGCTCTTACTTTGAATGGTGTAGTAAGTTTAATGCATGTAATTGCAAGTACAGTAGTTCTATTGTTGTCATTTTGTTTTTGTAGGATGTAAGTAAAATTCCAACATTTTGAATCAAATTCACATTATCTTATTAAACTAATGCCATTTCTTCAAAGCAATACGATGGACGAGTGTTACGTGTGGATGTAGCAGATGCTCCACGCGGAAGAGAGCGTAGAGGTGGCGGCCGTGGCAGTTTTGGTGGGCGTGGTGGTGGTTCGCGTGGTGGTGGACTACCCTTCAAAGGTTTTTTTTTTTTTCTATTATAATTCGCACATCGTCTTTATTCGGATTTTATTTTCAGCAGTATGAACTTTTTTAAGATTGAATTCATTTCATTTATAGGTGATAGCAGATATGGTGGTGGGACTAGCCAGTCTGGAGAACGATCTGATATCAGGAATGATAATTTTGGCCGTGCCGATTATGATAGATCAAATAGAAGTAGCATTAGTCGCGGCAGAGGTCATGGTCAAGATGTTGAGCTCGCTGCACATTCTAGTGGTTAACTTAATTTATAATTTTTTCTTAGACATTCATCAAGTATGATGTTATTCTACAATTTCATAAGAGTTTTAAGCAGTCCGTTTTATTCCAGCACCTGGCAGGCCTCACTTGAACTTGAAACCGCGCACTACTGACCCAGAAGAATTGGAAAGACTGAAGAAAATTGAAGAAGAAGAGACAAGAAAACGTCAGGCACGTATTTTTGGAGTGAAGGAATAGTTTGTTTCAAGATTGCTGGATTTTCTATTTATTATATTTTATAAGAGTGTATTGCAAGCTTGTTAATGAAAGACAGCAGTATTCGCTGTCTATATTTGTATTTTTTTTTTTTTTTTTGTTGAAAAATGTCTTCGTAGTTTTGTACGTAATTTATTACTGTTAACTTATTTTTCATGATTTTTCGTTGTTAATGATATTATAGAGAAGATCAATGTTAGTTGTCTATCTGCTCTGAAAAGTGTAAAGTTTAACGGGTTTCCAAATAAAAGTCATCGGATGAGATAAATTTGCATTTTTCGTTAGGGAAGATAAAAATAATGAGATCATGACGAGAAAATCATGAAATTGGATTCTTTTAATTTTCTTTTTGTCTTGTTTACTAAGATTCACCTTGGTTAATTTTCAGTTTCTATTTTAAAGCCCAGTTTTACCATTGTTGTAATAAATAATATTATCTGCTTAAATGCGTTGCTCATATTACCACTAGAAATTTTGTTCGTTATTTTTGGAATTCCTCTCTTTATTGCTCCATCGACTTCATTGGTATTTTTCTTTTTTGATTGAAAAGGATTGCTATTGTTTTAGCAACATTTCACCCTTTCATATATTTTCCTAAATGATAGGAATGAGATTTCAGAAGTTTTTTCTTTCGAACATTTGTTTCAGTTATTTTCTTTCTCTACTCGAATTTTCAGGGTTTTAATTTATGAAAAGCGGTTCTCTTTTTTTGCCTTTTCGTTGTTTAATTTTTCTTGTTTTTCTCACAACTCTTTCTTGAAGTATTTACTATTTCATAACATGCTTATCTTTTACTCAACATTAGCGATGAGAGGTTTCACAATGTTGTGAGGTTTTTATTTGTTTTTAATGGATAAATTAAAGTTAGAAAGTTTGGATCTCTATTATCTGTTTTTTGAATAATTAGTAATAGACCATTTTTACTACCTTTATGCAAAATTCTGAAAATTTAGTGAGCTCAAAATCATCGACGTTGGTCATACTTGGCCACCTATTTGTTGCAAACTTAACATTCCGATTTTTCTTAAACCTTAAATTACTTTTTCACTTAGAAATACTGGAAATCGTTTTATTGCCCCAACGAATGTTTTCTTTCCTTTTCTTCTTGCACATGTTTCATGTGTTTCTATCTTTAAATATTTTTGTTGATATATATAAAAAAAAAAGCTGCGGTTCATTTTTTGTTTTTTTGGGATACCTTTGTCTTGGACCATCTATTTATGAGGGAACTTTATTTCCATAAACTCGCTGAATCGGACTAAAGTTAATATTAGCTTCTTTCGGGTTGAGCTAAAGTTATTCGCAATAATTGAAAATACTTTTAGTGAAAAAATTTGATATGGAAGAATGTTTAATTTTTCAAATATTCCTGCGACATCGTTTGTCTGGAACTGTTGACTGTGACTTTAGTTTTTTATAATTGCAAAAGTATCAGAATGATTTTATCCATTACTTTATCTTCTTTTTGTAAAAAGGAAATGTGCATAATTGCACTATACTCGAAAGGAATTGAAATGAAATTTTAATAGTTCGGAAAAGAATTGAGGGGAGTTTTTCTCTATATTTTTTCCTTTCGACCTTAAAAAGTATTAGTTATTGTCATTTGTTTTACACATACAATTTCAAATTTTCAACTAAATTAGTGTAATAATAGGTTAATAACTGCAACGACGATGAATAATTACTGGGTTTGTGAGAGAAGAATATATTAATGATAAATGACAGAGTTTTCTCTCTTTTTTTATCTTTCTTTTCCTCTTCGTTTTTCTCTTTAATTTTTCCTACTTTGTTTCTCCTCATCTCAGTCATCAGTCATTTTACTTTGTTGCCATTTATTTTATCAAAAACGCCTTTTTGCTTTGATCTTAATTCATCATGATAGATCATCAAAGCTTTCACTGGTATTAATTTTAATTTTCAAACATTTATTATAGTTTGATAAAATATACATACAAGTAATGATGAATGTAGTTGTGTTATGATGGTGATAGTTTAATAGTTTAGAAAGAATCTTTATTAATCCAAATACTTTTGTTGTTATCCTAAATTAGTGGATAATGCATTTTTTTTTTTTTTGTTTTGTACTGGAATAAATACCTTCATATTATATGTTATTTTAATGGTTGTTTATTGCTTTTTTTCTTGTGAATAACTTTGTTTGCTATTTTGTTTATATTTTTTATAGAGTAAGAAGACACTTAGACAAAAAACAGTTGTGAACTAATCTGGTATTTGAGTTCAAACTGAAAGATAAAGCAGAAAAGGCAATTTTCAGTATTTTCCGAGAAGGTGTTGGAGAAACGTCATACTGTCAACTGAAGTTGTCGAGATCAGTTGAAATGAATCACAAATGCTGACTTTCCGCGCATACAAGAATTTAATGCTGGTACTCTGATATTGCAAGCAAACTAGACAGGTGAAAAAGATTAATAAATGGGTGACTATGGACTGCGAAGTGTGACAAATTTAAAATACTTCTCAAAATCGAACTTAACCAAAAAAGTCACTGTTACTGCTTATTAATTTGCTACATTATAATTTTCTGAATCAGACAAAGACGTTACTCTGATGGTACACTCTCCGGATCAATCAGAGCATCTGTCAACAGGAAGAGTAATCTATCACGATACATTTTTATGTAATACAATCAGCGCTTCAATAAGTATAGAGAAGTGGACTATGGAGTTCAGCAACATCTGTCACATTTGGTTGACCTTTCATTAACTGATTACTGCTCGACAACTTTTCTTCTACAATTGTTAGGAGGAAAAAAATATTTCCCGGAAGTTCGTCGATTCCCAAGGCGTGGATATCTATTTTATAAGAATAAAAAAGTTTATTTTTTCCTGTCATAGTCCTTAATTTGACAAATATTTGTCGAATTCCATCTATAATGGCTTGAAATTCACAGTGTTAAAGCGCAATTACCAATTTAATAAAGTAATTAGGCAAGCGATTGATTTTGCAATTCTCTTCCAAAAGTTCAATTATGTATCATGCGATCAAAGCTTTTCTGTCTACCGTTGCAATATTCAAATATTTCATTTCAATTGAATCTAAATTATGTGATAAAATGTTAATTAGATAGTTTGCTTAATGCTGATTGATGCATTTGATTTAATATATACAGATATTCTTGCATGAAATGAAAGAATACAAAGGATAAGAATAGGTCTTGGGAGTGCAGGAGGGAAAAGTGGAAACGTTGATGTTTTAAGCGTTTTAAAATTTATTCTTACATTTATAATGGATCCATTTTGCAGTTGCTCAAAGCTACTGGTAACATGAATGCAACGATACGACAAAAATTGGAAATCGCGTTGAAGCCATCCCATTTGGTAGATTACATCTAATTGGTGTAATTTATATCTGTCTTGTAATCTAGAGGATTTAAAATGTATTGGTGGAAATTTTCGGTTGTGATGGGATATTGGATATATTTATATAATATTTATAAGAAGCCTTTATAAACTTCTTGGATTTTATTATATGTAACACAAACAATACTTAGGCTAACATTGTTGTAGTGACATTAGTTTCTTTTCCTAATTATAATTATGTTAGGTAATATAAGTTATAAGGAGTCAATTCATAAATTCTTTTGCAGGATATCGAAGATTTCAGCGATGGATGTGGATTGAAATTTCGTTTGATTATTGTTTCTGATAGTTTTGACAACAAAACAACTCTGGCATCTCATCGGTGGTTATAAACATTTTTCTTAATGGTTTAAGATTAAGCTGTTGTATGGTTCATTACTTTCTGACAACTTATTAAGCATTAAAATTCTAGCATATATATATGTACATATATAGTGGTTCCGTACAAATTGTTCGAAAGAAGTTAGTATTGAAATTATTTAATATAGGTTTTACAATAGTTTTAGATTGGTTTATGAAGTTTTGAAGGAAGAAATGCAACTAATACATGCACTAGAAATCAAAACTTATACACCTGAGAAGTGGGATGCAATAGAAGAAAGTAAAGAAAAAGACGTAAGTTCGGTATAATTTCAGATTAAATTTAAAGATTTATAGTATCTTTCGGGATGATCTACAAGAGCAATTTTATCATCTTGTTTCCAGGATATGTTGAGAACTGAGAATGATAATTGACATCGATGGTCGTTTTCAATTGGAAACCTTTGCGGGTTTGCTAACATTAATGTGTATAGTTTGCTGGCTTTATATATGATGCAAGAATTGAATGCTTGAAGAAAAGATTTTTGTAATGATTAATGACATGTAGCAAACCTTCTGCAATCTTTGTTGTTATTATTGTTGTTATCTAAATATAACTACTGATGATTATAAATTATAGTTATGTTTGATAATGTCTTAATGATTTGTGCGAAGAATGTTTTTGTGTATGAAATAACTCGTCCGTTTCTCGAGTATTCTTTTCTGATATTTTGAATCATTAGCTGTTATTATCCTGATTCGAGAAAATGACTTAATGAGTGGCATTTCAATCTTCGAAAATGTTCTTCAGATATGTCTAGTAATGTGAAAACTATTGCATTAATGGGTGGGTGGTTTTGATGCTACTATAACTTATTATTTCGAGTAATATTACATGCAGTGTGGGTGATTAGCATAGAATTAGAGTATGTATATGCTTTGAGAAATGGTTTTGTTTTGTCGCTTGTGGAGAATGTTCTGTCCAAAAATATTAATCAGTGTTATAGGATGTTTGTTTATCAGTTGTTGAAACTGACATCCGGTGGTTCTACTAGTGAAGATACTGAACAACAACCGAATGAAGAAATCAGTGAAAGACTTGCAACGGAATTCGCTTCTGCTTGCACTTATTTACCTATTGCAATTAGTGAAGGCCTAATTTCACGTGAAGATCAATTATATTTTTATGCTCGATATAAGCTTGTCACATACGGGAAAGCTGGTTTGTTTTCTGGATTGTGTTGAGACGTTCTGGATTGGTCTGAAATATTTAAAAATTTTTTCATTGTTGTGTAAAGTATGAATCAAATATATTGTTTAGTGGGATGTTTCTTACGAAGCATATAAGAAGAGATTGTTCCTCAGGATAACAAGACCACCAATATTCCAGGGAATATAAGAAAAAATTATGGTAGATAGTATTACTTACATCTAAACATTAAACATATGCAACCTACTCATGAATTTTTTATTGCATGTTTACTTTAATGTTATCATAACAGATCCCAGTAGAAGGCCCAGAATATACGATATTGCTAGTCGTGAGAAATTCGATGCTTGGTTAGCATTGAGTAATATGTCAACAGCGGAAGCTATGAGGCAGTATGTTTCGAGGCTAGTTGAACTTAATCTTGGTTGGGATGCAAGCCAAACCTATCGTATTCGTTATGGTGTTAGACCGAGTACAATGGTGGACGCTGAATCTACCGAAGTAAAGTTTTTTTTTTCATTTGTCATGGATTTGGATATATAAATAGAGACATGATTATGTGAAAGACATTGTTTTTATCTTACACTGTGGTGGTAATGCTAGAGTTTATATTAGTTGAACTTACCTGTCAAATTTTGAAATTTATTAACTCTTAACTTGTGTATTGCTGATCACGCTTATCAGTTTCGGCAGAATTGATATTTCCATTTCGAAGTGCTATAGCTTTTTGCTGCTTTATAGACTGAATCATCTGGCATGAGTTTGGAGCAGATAGAATGGTTTGCTGCTTTAGATGAAGGCAATGTCAAGAAGCTGAAAGATCTTCTAGTCAGCAATCTAGGACTTCTAGAAGAAAGAAATGAGAATCAGGTAACAATATTCACTCGTTTTGCAAAATGTCGATTATATTTAATCCTAAATAAGTCTCTGATTTTATCAAGAATAGGTTTTTGTTACGACAGATTTTGCAGAATAATCACTTTGAATCATTCATACATATAATTGATTTTTTTGGTGCGATTATCTCATCACCCATGCTTATAACTTTTAGCTTATAACTTTTTAGCTAACAATTTTATGCTTATAACTTTTAGACATTAAGATCATTTTTTTTTTCAGCTAACTGCATTGCACTGGGCTTCTGACCGTGGAAAATTAGAACTTGTTGAGTTCCTCGTCGATGCTGGGGCTGATGTTAATATTCAAGATTATGGTGGACAAACGCCTTTGCATTACGGTTATTATTTTAATAATAGGAAGAGTTAGAATTCCAGGATATCCTACAGAAAGAAGGATGGAGGCAAAGCAAGAAATTTCAGGTTTAGTCTCGAAGGGTAATTATCCTTTCTATAAGATAAACATAACTAGTGCCTTGGACCATGCTTCTCGTAAGTCAGATCGTGTACTTTAAATCTTTCAATACTATTAAGTCAAACTATTGCAGCCGTTTCATGTTCTCATCGGTCTGTAACCGATTTTTTGCTCAAAAATGGTGCTGATCCAGCAGTGGCTGACTTCGAAGGAAACTGTCCGTTAGATATCGTCAGTGATGCAGTTATCAGGAAGATGTTGGAAGATGCTGTTCCGGAGAGAGAAACGAAGCCGTGAAAGTAAAGAATTTTTTGTTATCACTGTTGGGAAACATTTGATTATTCAAATACGGGCTTCTAGAATAACGAATTGCTGTGGACTTATTTTTCTTTATATCAAAAATCCCTCCTTATTGTGTTAAGAATTATTACGGTGTATGTTTCTTCATTATATAACAACAGACTCCTGACTGAAAACTTGTCTTCAACTTTCAACTTTAATGTTTTCGAGATACGACATTGCTATTGACGAGATAACGCAAATGTCGAAGTAGCTTCCCTAATCTTATTTAAATTTGAGAAAACTGAATAGAGTTGTGACGTCTACGGTGGAATCGTTCTGAATTAAATTCGAGCTTCTGAACACTTTGTTGAATCAAATGTATTCATAACTTCGATTTCTGCATTGGATTACTTTTCCACCTTACATATAAATTTCTGCTATTGTTTTATTTTTTGGACTAACAAAAGTTTACGTCATATGTGTTACTGGATGCGATATTTTGCATATTATGCGCTTATGAATCTTCTTACTAAAGTTCTTTATATTAGAATTCATATATCTTATTAAAGTTCCTTAATTAAAATTTGAATTATTCAATACAATTCGAAGAGATCTTAAAAATTAAACAAGAGATGAATTCTCATGGCAAAGATTTGCATCGGAACACTGTAAATTTCCGAATCACGGTGAGAATTTCACGTGTTCTGAATGGTAGGAAAGGTTACTCGGAATCCAAAATTTGACAGGACATAGTCAAGGAATGAGTCATAGCCAGAATCGATAAATTATGCTTCTCCATAGGATTTTTACCAGTGTGGAAGTTAAAATTATTAAGAATAATGGCTGTAATCTATATGGTTTCGATCCAAGATTAGCTCCAAACATTCATGTGGAAAGAATACGTTATGACGCAGTTACTATTCAAGAATATAGCTAATATCTAGATATCCAAACTATCTTAATATATGCTATGTAAAGAAAACAACATGAATGTAATGGGAATTTAGGAACATTTAAATCTGTGAAACAAATAAAGAGATAACAAAACCGAGTTAGTCCTATACTACGCAACTACAGTTCATACGTCTATACGTAAGAGTATAACAAATGGTATTTACTTGATAAGAACATGCAAAGAAAACATAAATGAAATAGGAAAATTTAGCAACAGATTTAAACATATGCAACAAATGAACAGATGTCAAGACTGACTTGTCCCATACAACTATAGTAAACTAGTGAGACCGGTGAAGTAGCAATAACACTTTCCAATTTATATAACGACTACCGGGTAATTTTATCATGAGTTCAAAAAATAAATTATCGATATACAAAACCTCTTTTATTAATGAAACAAGAAGCTATACGGATATCCCTGATATTTACTTCGAAATATGGAAAGCAGTAAGCTAAAGAATATTACCACTAATCCAAGACCAACAAATGCCATGACTGAAAATTTCAAAAATTACTTTAATAAGGATTAATTTAAGGCATACATGAATGCCTCAAATCTTCAAATATTTTAATTAAATCAAAACTCACTCCGCCGTCGTCCAGAATCACCTTTGCCGTCTGCTGCATCATTCATCAGAATGAAACCCGCCGCTATCGCAGCATATAATATCGCAACCAAATACGTTTCTGCCACCAGCTGTATTTTATAATGATTTAATAAAAGTACAAAACATGTGAAATGGACATAAGAATCCTATATAAATGTTTTCTTATAAATATTACCTTATTAACTTCACCTTAATATTTCACTTTTCATTTCTCTTTTTGTTCACTTAATATTTCTCTTTCTTATGAGTGAGAAATATTCATAATGCTAATGTAAGATAATCTTCTACTCTTCTCCTCTTCTTATCCTTGTCCTTAAGTATTAGCGGAAATTTTAGCAAAGATTATAGCACTGGAAATAACCTCTTTAATTACCCTTCCAGAATAATTTAAATCCAGAAATATACGGGGAGCATACCTGATACTGAGTGGAACCATGGATGAAACTTGTTTCACGAGTGTGCGAATTAGTCATAACAAATGGAGGTCCATGAATATGATTCCACATCTGTCCGCTCATGAACGCAAATACAATGCAGAGACAAATTAACGCCCAACTTGTACGATTGTATAAGAAGTCGAGATTATTTCTGCGCATATATAATAATCCTAACACAAGCATTGCTAATAATAAAATAACCGCTGGTGCTGCGTAGTTCGGTGGACGAAGAACACGAATCTAAAAAGTTTTTTTTAGCCGAAGAACGAAAAATCTAAAAAGGTCATGAGTTATGAAACCTGAACAACATCGCAATTTTCCTTCTTTTACCAAAATATTCGTCAAAAATTTCAATTAGAGGTTATAATATTTAGGAAGACTTTTCTAATTATTTTTTCAGAAATAGAAAAGATATTGAGTAGAACGAAGGAGAAGTCTGTTTCGTGATTCGTCGTAATCCAACAAAAAATAGTAAAAAATATCTATACGAATGCAATTTGAAAAACAAACTTGTATATCTGTTCGTTCAAAGACAAATTTTGCCATACTGTCAGCGTCAAAACCTTGCCGTTCAAAATCCATTTGATCAGTTCTTTTTTTGGCACCCTTTGACGGAAAATGTAAAAGTACTGGAGCAACATTAAGATTCATTTGCTGGAAGATTTCCGGAGATTCATTATAATCAATAATTGCGAAATAAAGAGCTTTCAGTTCCGGATATGCGTAACGATACGAATTAGCCAGTATATAAAATTCATCATATGCGGATCTAGAATGGTACAAAGTTTACTTGGCATGTAATTTCGGAAACTTATTAGGAACTCTGGCAACACCGAATAAAAACATCCGGAAATATTCCAAAACATTCTTCTAAAATATTAAATAGAGTGTTAGAATCTCTTACTCGTCAAATGCTGAAAAGCTCACTTGCATATTGCACAATTAACATTTGGAGAAAGCGCCGTAAACATCACAACCATAGAGTAATTACGTGGCGCACTTCGTACGTATGTCTTCCATCGGTCCACATTTAAATTAATAAGCGGTCTTCTGTACATCCAGTCCTGCAAACGAAAGAACCAGCAACTCTTTAGCTTTCTGAATACATTATCCTTCTATTTCCCTCAATGGAAAAAATATTTGCCAACGAACTTGCAAATTTTTGACTTTTTCATCCAGATATATTCCTTTCTGACTGTAGGTCATTCCCAGAATAGCAAGAAATACCACTGATCGCATAGTCGACACACCGACTTCTATCAACATTCATAAAATAACCCACCCGTCCTAAAATACATTACAAATCAGCATTGTTACGATATTTTAAAATGCTGCAAAGCCTAAACAACGTTGACATATACTGCATTTCGTATTATTAAATCCCATAAAAACTGCAACGTACCACTAGCTTGGTTCCAAACTAGAAATAAATTTCCGACCACAAGAAGCATCAGGCAAGCCAATTGTACCACCTCAGAAATGTCTTTAGAAACACAAAACGCAAAATATTTTGGTTTATTGAAGCTGAAGGTACAGCTATACATAAGTCATAAACATAATGATGTGATTTCAACCAGTTTATTCATTTTATCGAAAAAAAAAACAGCACAACAAAAGTCCAAATGATTTAGAGAGACTTTAATGACAATAAATATGCATACTCATTTCTACAAATAATTTATAAACTTTGGAAAAATTTAAAAGTATGGTCTCGAAAAGCCACATTCCTCCCTACAAGGTATTTTGAATCTTTAACGATTTTGCAAGCATGTAAATGACATCTCGAAATAATAGTAATTCAGTTCTTTCATCCTATCACTTCACAGTTCTTCACTTTTATTTGAACATCAAATACATTAATACAATACCGAAATAAGAAAGAGAGCTCAATTTATTTATACTTACAAGGAAAAAAAAACCGAAAAACTGCGATTTTATTACTTTTTGGTGGTACCAAATCCACCAAACCCCATAGCTGCAGCAATCTCTTCATCAATTTGTACTTCAGGATATTTCCGCTTTTTCTGTTCCAAACGCTTAGATTTCTTATAATCAGCCATACGGGCCTTAAAGAGCAACTGTAGTAAAGAAGCCGGCAAACTTATGAAATATTAAATGTTCACTTCCTCATATGCTCTGCAGGCATTTCCTGTATAAGCCAAAGAAAATAACATTTTCGAACAAATCTGAATTAAACTCACATACCTCTTCCTCTTTTAAATCATCCAGTCTGCTATGCATATCATCTTCCTTTTTTTGCATTTCTTCTGAAATTAAAGAAAAAAAGAATTTTAGCAATTCTTCAGTCTCTAATCTCAACAGCTCTTTTTTTTTTCAACAAAATTTCTAATCTTTTACAAAGTTTTCATAAAATAAATGAGCATATCAGTTCTATAAGGCATTCTTACTTTGAGCTTTTTTGAAAGCAAATCGCTGTCGTACTTCATCCAATGTACTTCGTTTTATCTTCATACTCATACCCATGTTACGTTGATGATTCTTCCCGTTAATATGATCCAGAAAATTGATAGAATCTTTAACAACACAATCACAAACATCACAGTAGTATCCACCAGTTTCAGCTGATGGTGTTGTTTTATTGATAACCACTGTACGACCCACTTTCGATTCCAAATCAACCTTAAACACTGTTTAAATAAAAAACTTGCAGTATAAAAAGTTGGCGAATACAAGAAATCAAGTAGAATAAATGATTGTACATAAGCCAGATAACAAAATAATCCTTACTACTAAATTTCTGGATTTGAAAAGATCAAACTGAAAGTTAAATATGCCAAAGTCTTAACCTTGTACTCTCGAGCTTTCAACAATTCCCGTTTCACTTTCGGCTCGTCCGGGAATCGTGGCAGCTTACGCTTCCCTTTTGTTTCTTCGTCTTTTTCTGCTAATAGCCGTTCTTGCGCTTTTCGTTCATATTCCTCCCGATCCCATTTCCGCCGATGATCTACGTCTGTCGAACTTGTAGGATCATAAACTGACATCCTCACTAAAT